AGTTTCAGCAGCGGCTGATGCCAGTTCCGACTTACATACAGATTCAACTTAAGAACAAACCTACAGTCCCTATCTTGTACGTAACCCGGGGACTACCTGTATTCGAAAAAAAGGTGAATGTTTATTATCCTCAAGTATTTTGCGCATATATTTTCTTATCTTTGATTTTTTTTTTATGCCCAAGATATTGAAGACAGTGATAGCTAAGCTACCAGTCACTGAGTCATTTTGTACGGCAGACAATGGAGAGGTATCTCTAGTATTGACTTAATCTCCTACACAGGGAGGACACAGAAAAGTCATGACAGGACAACTTTGCTCTCCTTTCTCACCCTTGTGGAGCACAGTGAGAGTCAAGGATTCTGGGGAGGACTTTTTCAGCAGAAAACAAACTGGGGTTCCAAAACACATCTCTTGTAGTACTTGTTTCCTTTTCTCTGTTGTATATCCTAGGACAGTGGTTCTTAACCTTACTGCAACCTGCACCCCTTTGGTTCTCAAAATAAGTTCTCGCACTCCTTATTAAAAATTGTTGAAGTAGGTCAGTTTTAAACCTAAGATATATCATAAAAATCTGGCATGTCTCGCACCCTCAGAGGGTGCATGCACCCCAGCTTAAGAACCACTGACCTAGGACATAGAGCTTTATTCGTGCAAACTGTCATTTTCTGCTCCTTCCAGTGTTACATCCTCCTTGCCAAAAAGGTGGAGTAGATCATACTAGCTAGGAGAACTGAGATCATAGAAAGGTGGACAAAGAAAATGAGAAGTAACATTTACAAGGGGGAAATAACTTATCTCTCTGAAATCTTCTTATCCTTGAAGCCTTAATCTCATCATCAGTCCAGTGACTTGAAAATTTTCCAAGACCCAACAGGCTAAACACATTATAAAAAAAGTTGCCAGTTAAAATTAAAACACTTTTTCCTAATTTATCTGGAAAAATGTACATTAAATGCATTGTCTTTCAAACTCTTTGACATATGGGTGCATTTATTCAAAAGGATGCACCTGTTTTACAGAGCAGAAGAATATACTTAGTGTGGTCACTCTTAAATAGCTGCTGTTGCAAGGGAAGTTATGAGGGAAAATGAATAGTTTACCTTTTTTCCTTATATCTGAGAATAGCAGTTGGTGTGCTTTTGTTGTTTTTACAGTATGCTAACGAAGACATGCATTGCCACATGGAATGCAACAAAACTTATTTGCTGTCTTCTGTAAACTATCAGCACTTAGACGTCAGTTATACATTTTTTTCAACTTGGATTTAATGACCTTGCACACCCTGCTTCTTGTAATTATGATCCAAGAATCACTGTTTCTTGCTTTGTATAGTTACTGTGAATTTTACTTCCATCTGGTTACTTTTTATTAGATACTATTAAAGTATTCCCAGTTAAACTTTGATTTGCATATTGTTAAAGAAGCTATATAGAAACTAAAAGTGACACACACAAGTTTGATGGCTTTAGAGTGGTGTATGTAGCTTTGACAGTGTAGAGTTGCAATATGGTCTGGTAACTGTTGCTAGACTTAACATTGATTCATGGATAGAGAGGAGAATAAAAGGACCTGGACTATTGACATTATACAACAACAACAACAAAATCATTCTCATGAGCACTGAAAACAATTATTTTCTTTTCAGCTGTGTCAGAGTAGAAGAGCACCATGCTGTTGACATTGATCTGTACCACTGCCCAAATTGTGCAGTTCTGCATGGACCCTCCTTAAGTAAGTACTGAATTCTCAAAGATCAAAGGTATAAATAACTATGTGTATGCTTTCCCCAACATGGAACTGGAAAAAATTAAGAAGGACATTCAAAATTCAACAGGCTATTTATGACTAATGTTAAGTGGTTTTTTTTGTTTTGTTTTGTTTTTTTAAAGTCTGACGAGGGTCATATGATGCAGGGCAGCAGATATGCAGATACTCCAATCCAGCTTACTTTGTTTCCTATCTGTCATTAAAAATGTTAATAGCGACTAAAGATCAAATATTAAGTTAAATTTCTCTGTTTTGGAGTCTGACTGGAGTTTGAAGAAAACAAAATTGAGTTTAAGAAGAGGGATCACAGTGGTGGCTTTTTAGGTAGCCTGAATTTGGCCACTGGTAAAAATAACAGGCAAGCGAAAATTTACAACATTCAACAGTAGCAACTTATAAAAAAGAATTTAGTCAATTCTGTAATAACTGGAAATTGGGAGGGACGGCAGATTAATTTCCAGTTTCAAATCCAGAAGAAGCCAGCAGTTGAAAGGACAGCCCAACAGGCTCTATGTCTTTCTTCCATGGATAGCAGGCCTCGCACAAATTGCAGTCAAAGAAATCTGAGTCTTGCAACTGCAAAAGGGATCTGTTCTCTTATGTCTTTGTAATTTTTCTTATTTTTGTCTCCATTCCAGTTTCCTGATTTTTTTATATAATATATATAATTTATTTATAATATATTTAATATATATAATAAACAAATCCTCACACGTTGCTGTGCGATCCTAAGTCTCCTAGGAATTGCATAAGAATCCATCATTCAAACACAATGGCAGCAGAGACTTCCTCTCCATCCATTCCTCTTCATTAAATCTATTTGTGGTGCAGATTATACATAAAAAGAGGGGAAGAAAAAACTTGACTTTATTCCTTGATGAATTACTTGAAAATCTCAGTATGCAGATTTCCTAAGCAAGTGAAAAAGCAGAGTTTGGATGCAACTTGGAATCAGCGGTGGTGGTAGTAGTAGTAGTAGCAGCACTGCGTTCTCTGCTAAGAGCTGAGCCAATTAAATGTACAGGGTACTAGAACAAGCTAGTACCTTGTGTCTTATCAAAGTCTACTTTTTATAAAGCAAAAATTTGAAGATTGTTTGCCACTAGGCACTGAAGATCCTCCCCGAATATTCAATTTCTTCTCCAAAACAAGGCAAAGTGCAAATCAGCGTGGCTGTCATAGGTTTGGGAGATGCTGCAGTACCCCCAAGGTTTTGTATTTGGCTACCTCATGCCCAGTGCCTGGCCCTGCTTCCTACCCAGGACCCCACCAACTTCACTACCCCGGGGTCCCACTGCCCACCATCCCCGCAGGCTCTCCAGCCCACTGTCCCTAGGGTCCAGGCCACCAGCATTGGAAGTTCTGCAGCTGCTCGGGTTCCCGCTGCCAACCCAGGGCTCTGCAGCTGTCTCCATTTGTAGCTTGGTTGCCAACTTTCTGCGAATGGACATGCTGGATGCCATTTGCAGCAATGGCGCCTGGTCTGGGAGAGTTGACAGCCCTAGGTGTGATCCTGGACTGGTATAGTAAGGGGCACAGACAGATCTGTGGGAGAACACAATTCAGCACTCCAACCTAAGAATAGTTCCAGCGCCACTGTGGCCTGTAGTCTTCTGGTTTCCCATCCAGTAGAGAATATGGTTCTGCCCACTGCTCTTAAGACATTTTAAATGCAGAGCCACAGCGGTCCAGAGCTGGTGCATGCCAGAAATGTTCAGTACTGGCTCAAACAGGCTTCTGTTGTGGCTCTGCAGAGGGCCCCTTTGTCAACTAATTGTAGTATTGACTACACGATTAGCCAGATAACTGCTATGTAACATGCTTAGTTTTAACCTTTTTAATACCATGGGTCCAGCATTTAGGCACCTAAAGACCTTAAACAGGATTAAATCCCTATTGTACAAACAAATAACACTGATCACTCCAGTCTAAAATCTAGATTGTGATTGTGCAATCGGCAAGGGTCAAGAAAGACAAGCGGAGGGGAGGGCAGGTAGAAATCATAAAAGTGTGCTTACATAAGTTAATTGGAAGTGGTTACTGGTCTGGTGTGCCAAATGTAAAAATCTTGATTAAAACAATAAATTAAAATTAAATAAAGTTTTCTCCTGTTCTATCTTAAAGTCAACTTCTGACCTGTTCTGTTGCTCCATTTCCTAAACGATTATCTACTCCAACTGATTTCTTTAATCCATTTTTAGTGTTGTAATTTTGGCAGGCCTTTCTTGTTTACATTGGTGAATGGACAAATATTTTTTTTCTTTCTACTTAGGGTTAAAACATTTTTACATTACACATCCATTCTAAATCAGAAAAATCAACACATTTGTTTTTAAACAAAGTTATTTTGTGTATTGTTCTAGTCTGTCTTACTGGATTTTACCAACTTAGAAAATAATTTGACACTTAAATAGGTATTTTTTCATACTGCTTTGTATTCTTCAATATTTTCTCCTATGTGAGAGGTCGTGGTATACCTCCCTAACTACCAAGTGATGAAAAAGAATTAACCAAAATAAAATTAATTTCCAGCTCTCGGATTTTAAAAACTGATTATAAATATCAGTTCTACTCTGTAAAAATAAATGTACAGTGCAATTACTGTATTCTTTCATTGCCGTATACTACATCACAGATGAATTTTGATGGAAGTTGTGTGTTGCAAATCAGAATATTAGCTGCTGATTTGTTGCATTTTTCAAATATTTGTGATTTGAGGAAGTAGATTTGGAAAGTTAATTAAAACTTCAAGTGGTACTGAATTTTATTTGAATAGTTGACTCATTAAACTAGCTATACAACACTGATTTTTCAGGTTAACAAGTCACTATAAATTTCACATGTTTAATTGAGCCAATTTATTTTCCTAAGTGTCTTTTAAAGAGTACAGTTTGTTGCCTCAACAGAAAATAATACATCACTGGAATAATTACCTATCACGTATAATGACTGGGAGATGCAAATAGATTAATTAGCTGTCAATCGGTGTTGGACTGCAGCTGCTATTTCTGGAAAAACCGCAACAAATTCCAGAGCTTATTTTAATAAAGTGAAGACAGATATATATTTATATTTATATTTTTAATAATTGAGTGGTCAGTCTTGCTAAGTTTTGTTGCAATCTGGATACAGTATGGGTGCATCTAAACTACATCCCTTTTTCGATAAAGGGATGTAAATTAGATGTATCGAAATTGTAAATGGTTGGGATTTGAATTTCCCGTGCTTCATTTACATAATGGTGGCTGCAAGCTTTTTTCGGAAAGCCACAGTTAAGATGGGGCATTTTTTTACAGAAATGCCCCATTTTGAAAGATCCTGTAAACCTCAAAGAATGAAAAAAGGTAAAATAATGGAGATTGCCTATCTCCTAGAACTGGAAGGGTCCTTGAAAGGTCATCTAGTCCAGTCCCCTGCCTTCTCAGCAGGACCAAGTACCATCCCTGATGAATTTTTGCCCCAAATCCCTAAAAGGCTTCTGCAAGGATTGAACTCAGAACCCTGGGTTTAGCAGGCCAATGCTCAAACCACTGAGCTATCCCTCCCCCCACCTTAGCAACACCCGGACACTCACCCCAGGTTTACAGGATCTTTCAAAACGGGGCATTTCTGTTGAAAATGCCCTGTCTTAATCGTGGCTTTTTTTCGAAAAGCGGCTTTTCGGAAAAAAGCCGCGGCCACCATTATGTAACTGAAGTGCGGGAAATTCAAATCCCGGCTTCATTTACAATTTCGATACATCTAATTTACATCCCTTTATCGAAAAAGGGATGTAGTTTAGATGTACCCTAGGACCCCTCTATTAGGAGCTTATCCTAAATTTATTTCCTATTTGGATAAGATTTAATTTGTTTTGGATTGAATTAAGTTCCAGTAATATTAAAACTGCTTGGATGTCAGATTTTCTTAGCCAGACTATTTTGTATCAGTTTTTGACATACCATTTGTGTGACCAGGGTAGCAACCTAAGGAGGGACGTAAAACCCCATTTAATTAGTTAACTGGTTAAATGTTAAGTAAAACGGTTAACTGATTAAACAGGTGCAAATGGGGGGGGGGGTCGGCAGCCTTGCCGGGGAGGGGTAAGTGGGAGGGACGGACAGAAGTGGCAGCCCCCCGCTCCTCACTCCAGTTGCTGCTTTCAGTCCTACGCAAAGGTGCAGATTTCTAGCCTGCCTAGGCTGGCAGCTGGCAGCATGGGGCTGCTCCCGTTACTCAGTAAGCATCAACCTTAACGGATGATGCTTACTGGGTAACCTGCTATCCGTTTGCATCCCTAAACCCGAGCTTTTTGCTTTTCATCATATGTAACAAAGTTCCTGCTTTTAGTACTAGTTTAGTAATTTTAAACATTACACACTTGGTTTCTTGGGTGCGGTTGTCTTTATTAGCATCTATCAAATACTAGTGAGCACAGTTTGGTATAGTTTTTTGTTTTTAGAATTAATCAGAAAAAAAATAATCATAGCCTGAGTGATAAGCTCTGTTCAATTTCCCTCAAGTGGTAACTGGTATGTTGCCGATCAATAAAAAGATAAGACACTATGGCTAAACTCAACACAAGTTCATTCAAAGCTCATGTGGTATAATCCTTTTTGCTCAGACATCTGGTTGGGAATGTAGTTGGGATCCGCAACCTCTGAAATGATAGAATCTGAGTGAAAGAACATTACAGTATTCATTGTGTCGGTAGAAAGTGCTATTGAAGTGTTGCCAGACATATTCAGATTTGTAAATGAACTTCTGTTGCTTCTGAAGGAAGTCACAATGTTACATTTTGCGTGACTTGTGGTACCAAGTGATTGATAGAAATTAAATGATTTATTAAAGGTTTAAATGGGTTTGAGGAGAGGTGATTGTGATGGGTTTGATCACAGGGGTCCCCTTGAAACTGTCACTCAAGTGTGCTGATAGTGCCACTGAGTTCACCTACTTACTGGGCCAAAAGCTCTGGTTTTCCCTAG